TCGCTTTCGAAAATCTTTTTTAGAGTGCAATCGAAAATCAAATATCCAACACTAACGTTGATATTATCAGACTCATCACAGGATAGATGCTTTCGAGTTGAACCGTTGGAAGTTAATGTATCATTAAGATAGGCAAAGATTTTTTTATGCGGACACATGAAAAAATTTTCAAGTTTAAATAGGGAAAAAGTTTATTTACTAAAAAACATTTTTTTTCTGTGTAATTTATATAGGTCGTTCTTATTAGGAACATTTTTTCGCTGGTTGTTCTTATTGGGCTCAGTGTTCCTAACAAGAACAGACGAGTTATTTTTTAAAATTTAATAACTCTGTTATTATAAATCAAAAAAATCTGAACCTTGAAATCTTAACTCCATGATTAATAACAAAAATTTGTTGTCTCAGGAATATATAACGATATTTTCAAGTTCAAATTAGAAAAAGTTCGTTTACTAAAAAATTTTTTTTCCATATATTTTATATGGCCTGTTCTTATTAGGAACAGCGACCCTAATAACAACAAATTCAATTACTCGTAAAATACCGCTAATTATAGGCCTAATTTACGAGATAATAAAATAATTTTTGCATCATTCGATGCAGCAAACATTTCTACACCCAAAAATGTTAAAAACACTTTATAATTTTAAAAATTTGATCAGTAAAAAAGCAAATTACTGACACCTCTGAAAAGTCTGTTCTTATTGGGACATCGACTGTACCGACACTGAAGAAAAATTTCGTTTATCTGTTTCGTTGACGAATTCACAGGGATTTGATTTATCCACAAAGACATCATCACTTCCGCAACCTTTTCACTTGAATTTAAATGTGAACAACGAACCAAGATCGGATGAATCACCGTACACGTCATTACATCTACTACCCCTGATCACGGTCTTCGATCAAACTTATCTTTTAAAATTAGAAATTGATCGATTAATAAAAGAATTGGAACTTATGAAACTACAACAAGAGTATGGGTGTGGGTGCTTTTTTTCATGACTTCAGGAAAGCTGACACCCCACACCCACCCGCCCACACTCACATCCACCCCAAAACTGTCTATAGATAGAGTACGCTACGTTAACACTTATAGAATATCAGTGTGAACATTTAACTGACTGCTCAACTTCAATGAAGAATATACAAACACCCACGAGATATGCAAAGGAAGCTTATTTGCCTGTCTCACTTCAAAACATGAGGGCTCTGATTAGATCAAAGTTATGCACAAAAAACATGTGATTTCTTGAAATTTCTGTCTGAAAAGACGAAATTTAAAAACTGAAAGCAGCTTATCGACTGAAATGTTCGCCGCAAAAATGAATTACTCGACAGCTGGATATCTCGAATATCTGATTCACAGGAATCTCAAGGATTTGAAGGTTCACTGTAATAAACTCACATAGTGAAAGCATCTAATCGGCCGAAGTTCTAGAATTAAAAAACTTGATTGGATGAAAAATGGATAGTGAATAAATAATTTGTACAAAGCAGGTATCTTAAATAGTTAGTTTGATATTTCAGAAATATACATGGACACGTCACTAGACATGTGCAAACAAACATACACTCAAATTCATTTTTATTTAATATGACCCTCCGTTCACTCGAGGAAATATCGCCTTTTCTTCAACAAAAACTCAAACCTATCAGCGAATCAATGATTATGATAGATAATAGAAAGCATTAAAAAACAAATTTTAAATGACGTATCTTTTACGATAACAGTTTGTACCATTGATAGCCACGATCAATTTTCTCCACAATAAACTATTTGATATGAAATAAAAGTCCTCTTCTAATTGATATTTTCTTTAAATACGATAGAACAACATATAAGTAACACTCAGAATAATTACTTAATAATATAAAGAAAGCTAAAAAATCTGATTTAAGTTGATTGATAACTAATTTAAAAAACAGATAATGTTGCTCAGCTGGCATAATATTTGTATTTGTTGAAATTCCTTTTTACCTACAATGAAATACAACTAACATCAGATTCATTCTTTATTTAATTTTATTGACAGCTACTAAAAACGAAAGAGCACAAAACTACTAGAAAACTAATGTGTTCTGTTTTTATTTTTTTGTTTTATTGGATATAAGAAAATATTGTTTGTTTTATTCTGCCGCATGTATTTTCGATCAATATTCTCCGCATACTTATATTTGATAGAATGAAAACAACATTATTTATTATGTCAGTATGATTTTCATTCGCCTACATTGCTGATTACAAAAAACAAAATGATACCCGTTGCTTATGTTGTTCTACTACCCTAAAAAAACTGATAATTTTCTTTCTGTCAAAAGAAAATACCTGAAACAACATGTAAATAGACGTACGCCTTAATTTTTTGTAGAAACTTTTATGAGTATAATAAATTTTCGTTAGAATTTTCGATCAAACCTATGCTATTTTATTTTTCAATATCATTTAACATTTGTACCGTTCTTAAATTATGACAATTATTATAGAATATATAATATTTTTGAGCTGAAGACTAATATGTTGAATATGATAGAATAATGTAATGATTTAATGAGAAAAAACAAAAATCTTTGTCATTTTTTATTTGATTACTTTGAAGTAACGATGGAACCGTTCTGAGTAATTCGTTGGTTTTCACCTCATATTTTGCCCATTAGCAGCAGACGTGTAAACTAGGAAAAGTCCAAGATAATATGGGCTCGTGCTGTGATTTGACTACTATAGAGAAGTTTTACTGATAACTTCCTGTTATCTTGTACAAAAAATTTTAGAACTACTCCATGCAGCATAACCAAAATATGATTTTTTTCAAAATATCCACGTTTCATACAATATCTACAAAAAAATGTCTGTATTTTGAAAAACCCATATTTCGATTACGTTGCGTGTAATAGCTCTAAAAATTTTTCTACAAGGTAACAGGAAGATTTCAGTAAAACTTCTCTATCGCAGTCGAATCACAACGTGGGTCTATATCATCTTGAACTTTTTCTAGTCTACAAGTCTACTACTTAGGAGCAAAATATGGGGCCAAAAGCGACGAAGGTTTGCTTATCTTTTCCATATATTTCTTATGTTTGCTATAAATATAATTGTTTATGACTAGAAGTTCTGTTTAGATTATTATAGCTTTACTGGAAGAAAAATACATGATAATATTTGAGTTGTTACAAATGATTATTTACGAAGGATATAAAAATTAATTCATATGGAAAGTAAATTTACGTTCATTAATATACAAACATTGAACCCCATTCATGTACAGCTAAACCACTTTCTGATAAATTTTCAATATTAATAACTTTTTTAATTTCATTTTCCAACTGATCAACTGTTGAGATTTCATCATCATTAGTTCCAAATCCAAAAATGAGAAAAGCACGAATCAATTGTTGAGGTAATGGACGAATAGTTAGTTGAGCTGATTGTGAATATATTTGTGGCGACAGAAAATGAAATATAACCTTATCTTTTTCATGTTCAGGATCAGCTTCGTCCAGTTGAGGAAGCACATATGTGATAAAGTCCTATGAAAAAAAAAACAATTAAGATTAAACTGATCATTTCTATCAAAGGATAGTATAAATATATATACTGACATCACGATCTTCAGATGATAGAGTCATTTTTTTTAAAAGATAATTAAGTATTCGACCAAAATCCCGACGTGGAACACATAAATTCTCTTGTTGAATAAAATTGCATGATGAACTGGTTGTAAATGCTTCCCAAAATAACATTCGATATTCTTTTTCATCATCAATTAATGGATAAAGTCGATCAATCATATACGTATCCTTTTCATTTTCTTCAAAAATAATTTTTCCATCTGGATATACATTCATATTATTCCATTGTACAAAATTTTTTTCATGTCTTACTGATGGTTTTGGATAAAGACTTGATAAGATCCACATATGTGGATCAAGTTCAATAGAAACATGAACATGATTAATGACTTGATTATTGATTGATTTTAATCGAATAACAGGTTTACGAAGTCTTAAAACGAGATGCAACATACTTCCATTTGAAGCGTTATAATCAGCTAATGTTCTATTATCTACGAGTTCTTTTCCACTTAGAATAAGCCGTTGTTGTTCAACTGGAATGCCTTCTTTCATTTGTACACGTTCTTTGATTACAGCAATCGTATCCGTTTTAATGCATACATTGATAGGGATCATTTTACCAGTCAAACATTTAACATGAATAACGTCTGTCGGTAAAAATGATGATAGTTTTGGTTCGATACGAAAATGAGAACCATCATTCGCATTTGTGAAAGAGTGGGCGAGATCAAATGAAACTTGTGCATTTCCTTCTGGTATAACAACATGATGAGTATCAACTTCTTCGGGCTGAACAAGTTCTAATTCAATCATTTTAGAAAAGATATCACCAACAGTCACACGGTTATTGATGCTAAAAAGTAATATTCAAATTATGCTTTATATTTTTGATAACAACAGATTGGCTTTAATAAAGGACGGGGGCGGATAAGACCACAAATCGGCCCATTGGGTTTTTATCTTACAATCAAGTCTCATCACTTAAGGAATGAAAGGGCGAATTGAGACGATCATTTTGATACCAAATTGTGAA